AATGCAGTCGGCAAACTATGTTAAAATAATTTCGACATTATCGTTTTGTTACTCGCGTATACAATTTATTATAAAATCATTTTTTCTGTTTTGTTAATTGATTAATAAACAGTGTTGGCATCTATTTTAAATCGTATAGGTACATTAATTGATACGAACCGCGCTACCAGCACAAGCAAAACTTGTAAGGGGTGACGCAATATTAAACTGATATTTCGTATAACGATCTAGAGATATTCTATTGTTATTATTACTTGGCTCCCCCTGATTTTACAAGACCTGAAAAATGACTCGCCCGAAGGATTTTCAAATGAGTTAAAAAAAATCGAAGAGTGAAGTAAATATACAAATTGAAAACTGATTTTGATAAACCGGAACAAAAAAAACCGCTAAATGGGAATATTGCATGCAGAAGACTACTACTGCAGATCCAATGTGTACTCGTACATACCATTCTTGGGCAATTGTTTAATACAACCAGAGAGTTGAAACAGGCAATGAATTCAGTCTTCTTATTAAAACTTTAAAAAGACGATTTAGATCGCAGTGAAATGCAAATAACAAAAGAAATGTATTCACAGCAAAACAAACGAAAATCCATAAGCAGGCATATCAACGAAAATCACGCAATAGTTTTGTGAATGTGGTAACTGATAACACAACAATTTGTCCATGCATCGGACCACAGTAACCAGCGAGCGCTCTTTTTCTACACTTTTGAACTCGTGTGTGAGAAATGAAACTGGACAGTCGGAGTTAAACGGATTGGCATTAATTATGCACTCATCGAGATATTCCATTGAACAGAACACAAATGAGTTTTCTGTAAAAGCCAGAATAACGAATTTCCGCCTGGATTAGAGCAACGGGTTTTTTAGTTGTTAAATAGTACACTTAACACTTGACTGTTACATACGTAAATTAGAGTAATATTATCTGTGTTGTCCTATGTATAAATGTACATTCAGTCGGATTAAAACATGATAGATTTTTTTTTTGTTATTCCGGTTTATGACACCCCCCCCCCGAATTCCTGCACACGCCACTGTGCAATGTTTGGTTTGACGAATTTCGGCCATTTTTCATTTTACGGGAACATAAGTACCGCACGGGCGCAGACGTAAAACCGTATAACGTTCTCCTTGGTATTCGTCGGCTTATCGGAGGACCGTATATTATCAGGGGTGGTCCGTGTGCTTCGCGATTCTCGGTCACTTGTCACTGCGCGCGCGTATTTCGTTACGGTTTGTTTGCATATAACGCTGCGTAGAGAAGTGTATAAATCGGTTATTTCGGTTCCGCACGAAGAATGGCGAAAGTAAATCGCTCGTTTTTCGAATTTGACGAGTCGCGCCGAACAGAAAAAAAAAAAAGGAAATTACGTACGCAAGTATAGGTATACCGAGTCCATATCGAACGGTGTTGCAGGTTTTATTTATTTTTCGTCGCGTAATTGAGACGATATTTTATGCGCCCGCCGTTATCGCACGCCACCGCCTCCGGTATAATACGGTATCGATTTTATACCTATAAAGTGTTTTCTCCGGTTCAATTTAAAACTAAATTACAATATAATGTCGACTGCGGAGCTATCGCGAGCGTGTTGTATTTGCCATCGTAAACTAAACGAAACGTCGTCGTCGATGCGATTATATAGAACCCTTCCAAATAGCAGCATTTTATTTTAATGCGCATTTTCACGTCTTCGCTGCTAACGTCTGTCGTATAACAGAATTGAATTTGAAATAAAAACGTCCAATTTCACTGAAAATCATCGAAAACTGGTGATTATAAATCAGAAGTGCCGTATAAAACAGAACCATTACCTTGAAAAAACAATTTCACCGTTGATGTAGTTTACCATTATTTTTCCTAATACTCGAATTGGTTTTCGTTATCAACTCGCCGACTTTTAGATTCCGAGCTAAATGTGTTGGATTTACTGTGAATTGTGAGGAGTTTTTATTGTTACTCGTAAACAACTTAATTATTCTACCACCGGAATGTCTTGCTCCAATTAAAAATAGACGGGAAAGCTTCTTTGTAACATTTTTTATCGGGTCGGTGCATCGAAGAGGTCATTTTTTTTATTTTCCTTGCATTTTTATACGGATAAAATCGTTTTGACGGATCAAAAATGAGCCCGAATAATTGCGCAGAATATCACAACAGTCAAAACAACGAGTAAAACAAAATACTGAATAGACGGATGGATCACTGTTTGAAGCCGTGCGCGTCGTTCCGGAGATCGGCCGGTCCACGTCAAACATAATATTGGCGTTGCACTCGGGCGGCACACGGAAAACGGACGGACGGAAGCGGAAGAGACCGCGAAGTTAATCGAAGACGGTGCCGGGACGGGATGGTCAATTTGCAGGCGGTCAATTACAGTCGGCTGAGAAAACGTTACGATCAGCGGCTACAACGACGCCCAATCGAAACGCGAACCGAGCTCGCGCGAAACCGGCGAAATAAAATTGTTATTATCATTACTATTGTTGTTGTCGCGACCGGCGACGGGCGCGCGCGCGGCGGCAGCCTCGGCTCTCTCTCTATCGACCGATCGGCAATCAATTAGTCGGCAGTCGTCGCCGCCGCCGCCGCCGCTGCCGTGCGCGCGGCGTCGTCGTCGTCGTCTAATTAAACCGGCCGGGCACTACTGATACGGGTAAATATGCACGCAGAAACGTACGTACGCGTGTGCGCGTGTGTGTCTGTACGCAATATATTGTATATATTGTATATATTGTATGTACACAGAGGCGGTCGTTAGTTTTGCGGGTTTTCGCTGCCGTTTCACGTTTACGCGCGCGCATTACAATAATAATACAACCGAAGTGTACACCATGTAAACTACGTATAATATTACTGTTTACTAACAGCGCTCGGGCGGACGGAGGAGAAAAAAAAAAAACCGAACCAGAAACGGAAAATAATAATTGATTACCGACGCGATAATATTGCGTACCGGCGTGCGGCCGCGGCTCTCTCGGATCGGGTGCCGCTCGACGCGTACCCGTAGCGAGAGAGAGCAGAGAAAAAAACGTTACGACGCGCGTTTTCGTATTGTGCCGGCGCGGTGCTGCTGCCGCGGCCGTACACCGGGCGAAACCGGGGACGCGGGTATTTTCGATTTGAATAATTCAAAGGGGTTATTGAAGATAGAGAGGAGAAAAAAAAAATAAAAACATACGCGCGTAATGTACCGCCATACCGTCGTCGGTACGCGCGGTACGGGCTAGCGGCGAGCGGCGGGAGGGAGGTGAGGGGGTGGGGAAACGACCGCGCCGAGAGAGGGGCTCGGGACGTCGCGTACGCGCAATACGATATCGCGGTTTCGCTGCCGGTCGGCGAGACAAACGCGTTACTATACGCGCGTCGTTATTACGGGACACGTACGCGCGCGTGTGTGATCTCTTCATTAGCCGGCCCGCGGTCGGACCGCCGCCGCCGCCGCCGCCACTATCGGTCTCGTCATCGTCGCCCTCGCGCGGAGGAGGTCCGGTAACGGCACGCGGACCGCGGTCGTGTAGCGAAAGTCTCGAGCCCGCGGGCACGACGACGGCGTCGGCGGCGCGGTCCGCGGGCGCAACGATACTACACGTGCGCGATGTTGCGTGCAAACGTCGCGTGCCCGCGTTTGCGCGGCCGACGGACCCCCGGTCGACAATCGGGGGGGAAAAAAAAAAAAACCCCCTAGCTCCGAGCACGCTCGAATCCGCTTACTGCCATTGAAACAGCACGATAATCAATCGAAAACTGTTATCAATTAATAAATACGTGAATCTAAAACCTTGGTTTTAGACAATCAGTCCCCGATAAACGTTACACATTACCGTCTATTTTAAACAGGTTGTATAGTTATAATACACGGTTAATTTTTCGGATAACTCTAATTTGAATAGCCGGTCGTGGAAATAATAGTTACAATTACGTTTAACAGGCTGTATCATTTTATTATAGTTAATCAATGGTTTTTTTTTTTTTTTCTAAAATTAGTTATTTTACAAAATTTCACGTTTGTAAACAACGGCAACGTTGCACTAAATTTGGGTAGATAGAACCGTTGATTTTATGACGTTATACTGTATAGGTAGTATAGAATAAAATAGTAGGTATTGTTATAGTGTGAAATCAATGGTAGAACGTACGCAATCGTAATAGGGAAAAAGGTCCGTACGCAATCGGATCATACGCAACAGTAACGCGCCCAGTACAATATGTGACCACGACACGTACATGTGGCAAAATTGTATTCTAAAAATAATACCGTTCGATTGTTATCAACGAGAACATGTTTTTTAGATGTCGTCGCGGTACAAAAGAAAAACCGTGTTTTAATATGCTCGGCGGTTATTCTTATTCTGCGGTATGTACCTATAGGGATGTGGTGTATTCCTTAATAATTTCGCACAATGTCATGTCAACCAGTTTTATCTTAGGAAAAATTAAATGTTCGGATATTTGAACCAGAGTTTTAAAAAGTCTGAGAAAAGTGATTGTCATTAATAAATCTCTGCCTAAAAGCAAACTTCCCATTTTTGTTTTCAAAACTACTTCGTGGTTAGCTGACTCCGATTTTCGTATCCCTGTAAGCTCCTCCCGTTCGCGAGCTCTTTTCCACTCACCAGTGATTCATACCAATTTTAACAAGAACACTGAACAACCCCTTACACGGGATATTTTGAGCAGCAATTCTTAGTGTCCGGTTTAGATTTTTGTAATATTATGTATAATACATATACCGCAGGTGTTTACTTATTACATTTATTTACGATGCATTCGTTTTTCTTTGTATTGAGCATAATGTTCGTTATGTTAAATGAAATTAAAAATAAATGAAATCTAATAATATTCTTCGATTATTGTCACTTCTTCATAAATAATACACTGTAGTGGGTAATTAAGCAGTTAAATACGAGCGTTACAACAATTTTTTCTCGTTTGTTCCATGACCGCAGCGGTTTTTAAAATAGCCGTCGTTGGTAAGGCACCCGGTGAAAAAAAAACATACATAATATCATCTTAGTAAAACTTATACAGTTTCTTCGCTACACTCGGAATCTGAAATAAAAATAAACGACAATTCACACTTGAATTTCCGACTTTTTTTTTTCCGATTTTAGTTGTTCATTCGAATCATTCTCGATAGCATTCAATAAAACTCATTTTCGGTCTTCATCTCCCCACAAGCGGATCTTTTCACTCTCCGATATACGAGGTATCTCTTAAGTTGCATTATACTCTTAACTCGATTCATCATTGAGATCGTCATAAATGCGTGCCTTATATGCATGTTCAAAATCGCCCCCACCGTTTTCGTGTGCTTAATCCGCCCCTGCGCCTCCGCTTCTTTCCTCCTACGTTTATTTTCATTACAATCGTAATCGCTTCCGAGTCCTCTGTCCTCATAACATGCCCATAAATCATTGATCAGTCTATTTTCTCTCATTTTTCCCACTATTGAAGCCACGCCTAAGTCATCTCTTATACACTCATTCCTTATCCAATATTTTCTCGTCGTTCCACTCACGCGCATGAGCATTCTCATATCTGTTACATTAATACTCTGTTCTTTTTTTCCCGTCGACCACTCTTACGCCAAAACGCACAACATAATCAGTCCCGCCGTAATACTTTTGTAGAACTTATCTTTGGATTTCAATGGAATTTTCTCGTTACGTAAAACACCTGACGCTTCTCAATCCGCTTAATCCGGCCACGCTTAATCGTACGTTTCACATCGGAGCCGCCGTAACCGTCTATTGCCGTTAGCTTGCATTATTGTCGTCCCGTTCCACCGGTGTGAGTTCGGCGCCCCGGGTTCGCTAAACCTATCGGCGAGCATCGCGTGCCCTCCGGAAGAAAATTTTCGCACGTTTTATTTTTATTTCTTTCACGTCATGGCTCACCCGCACACCACGGGGTTATCTGTGCGCACTTTCGTGTGACGGAAATTCGCGCCGAACGCCGCCGGTGTAAGTCGTTGTTCGAATACAACATTGCACAATAAATCCGCACCGCGCCATTTCCGCAGCAGCCGCCGCCCGGTAACCCCGCGTCATTCGTCCCCCCCGGCCGCCACCCCGCACAGCGTGTATCGCGTATCATGTACACATTGTTATCGCTTCCCGCTGGCGGACCGTCGCATTTATTTCATTTTATTTTTTTCTCTCGCGGCCGCCGCGGCTTTTAATTCGCCCGTTTATTTTTGCATTGGGCACACGCGTATAACGCGTAATATAATGGTAACAATCGCGCGTGTACCGCGAGCCTGTCGGCCGAGCGCACCCGATAACGGTGAGCGGCGCGGCCGGGGACCGAGTTAATTGAACGCGCGCGCGCGGGGACCCTCCGACGGTTAGCCGCCGCCGCGCGGTGCACGCGCGTCTCGTCCGCATAATAAACGCGCGCGGAATAACGGCGTTTTTCACCGCGCGAGGGCGCTCGAGCGGCAGTCGCACGTACGCGCGCGTCATCCGAAATCAGATAGCGTTTTACAATGATATTACACGGTGCGCGTCGCCGTCGCTACAATACAATATTGTTAATATTATTATATATCGGTCGTATTGCGGCGAGCGTGCGTGCGTGCGCGCGCGTGACAGACCGTTGTCTGTTCGCGCCCCATTTTTCGCGTGTTCCGCCCCGGCCCCCCTCGCGGGCGCGAAACGTCAAAAAGTCCCGTCCCCGCGCGCGTCGCGAAAACCCCGTCGGCCGCCGCCGCCGCCGCCGCCGCGCTGTCACGTTATACGCGCGCGCACACACACACACACACACACACACGTACGTACGTACACGCGTATGCGCGTAGGGTACGTACGGTACCCGCGAGTGACAAGATAATATCGTGTTGTCTTTTGTGCGCCGGTTCTATTATTGTTATTGTTATTGTTATTATGTAGCGCGGTTGTGTGTACGCGCGCACTTAAACGCGGGCGCGGCCATCGATATCGCATTCGGGTGAATCGGTACGGAAACGCGAACGCGCACGCGGCCCGCGGTGTCATTATTATGTTACGTGCCCGCGCACAATGAAAAATGTTTTTCGCCAAAAACGATATCTGCGCGGCACCGCGTACCGCGCTGTGCACGTTATGCGTACGTAACGAAATATTATAAACGCCGGCGACGATTGGACCGGGCCGCGCGAGGGGGGCCGGTAGAGCGAGGGGCTGTGTGGTATCGCGCGTATGAAAACACGGTCGGCGTGGACGGGTAGCCGCGCGGGGAGGCGGTGAGCGGTTTGAGCGGATTAAAAACTACGGGGCGCGGCGGCGATAAAACGTTTGTTATTTGTTGTAATACTATTATTATTGTTATTATTATTATTATTATTATTATTATTATTAGGTGTTGTGTTCAGCGGCAGATAACAACGAAATACGGAGTAATCGCGTTCGGTCGGTATTGGGGTCGCGGTCGCGGTCGTGGCAGCGCGGAGGACGAGCGAAAAAGAGGTCCGACGGATTATTTTTGCGGCCGCCACGTCGGACGTGAAACACAACACCGTTTCCGAACGCCTTGCGCCGTAGTAACCGCCGCCGTTATCGTTGCGTCGCGCGCGCCGAATGTCGAAAACGTCGCCGCGACCGTTTTTATCCGCCGATAACGCGATCGGGGACCGCGCCACCGCCGGAGACGAACGTCGTTTCCACCCAACCCAACCACCGGACAGTAAAAAAAAAAAAGAAAAAAACCAAAAAAAACTGCGTGTATCACTAATAAAATGGTTCACTTCGTGACTCGTAAACGGTTCTCATCTGCTTGGCTGCTTACCTGGAATAAACGACGCGGTTGCGTTTACTCGCTAGAGACGACTAATCGTTTCAAAATATGCATCCACCCACTTAGGTTTTAACGATTTAACGTGGACGTAGTGTTATAATAATCACTGTTACCCGTCTACATTATTCTCTAGCAAGGTAACCGAGTCGTTTGTTCCAAGTAGCCGGGTACTGATAAGAACAATTTGTTTTCTGTGGACAACTTTTCTACCAGAGATCTTGCTCCAATTTTTACGTGTTGCAACAGTTGTGAAAGGAAATAGGCGTGGGAAGAAGGTACCCCCAGAGAAGTAATTTTTTGATTTTCTCAACAAATTTGAAAAACTGAGAAGAAAAACGCATGCAAACCAGAAAATGTACGAAATATATTACCGATTTTACAACTGGAACAAAATTATCTGTATTATAATTTGAATATATTTAATTGATAGGTAGTCAACGAAAAATGTCAAACGCAAACAGTTATAATACAAAATATCAATTAAAATGTCCTTATCGGTTCGTTTGAAAACGGCTTGTCGAATCGATTAAATATTTGCAAATCAATCAGACAATATTAAATTTGACGTTTACAGACAGACGCCAAATATTCGACCGGGCTTTATGTTACTTTTTAAGCGTTCGCAGGACATTTTCCCTGGGGGTGCAAACTGTCAAACGACTACATATTAATACTTAATAAGTAATAAACCAGTAAAAAAATAATAAATAAACATTAATTGTTCAATATTACCCAATTTCCCTATGATAAAATTTAAATTTATTTTATTCAGCTTATAATAATAAAAAAAAACATACACAATACATAAATCATTATTTTGATTTACAAATGTTTAAAACTTCATTTTGAGGCGGCGGTTTAAGTCCACAAGTATTTTCAAGACGGTACTCGTGAATTACTTGAACAGATAAAGACTATGCGGTAAAACGAAACAACGTGATTAGCAATGGTGGTTAGATATAGTCCAAAAATACATGCAGAAGTTGAGACCAAACTGGTTAGGGACCTGCAGACTGACATGGGACCTAAACCACGCGTATAATAGAAAGGAGAGGATGAGTTTGGTATTGGCAGTTAAGGGCCTATAAATGGTTTATAATGTTAAAAAAAAAAAATTGTGACTAAACTCGTTGGGGGTGCAATTGCATACCCTGCACCCTCCCGTGCGCACGCTTATGCTTTTAAGTAACTCATGTCGACGCAAATTTGTATAGTATTCATTAAAATGCATACGTAACCAAATTACAAGATCAAATATTGCAATTGTACGGTGCTTAAAATTAATAAGAAATAATAGTTCATAATTTAAATGAAATTTACACTCTTAAATATTAATAAATATTAAAATACGAAAAAAAAAAGCAAATATAGTAACTTCTGTATCTATAACTGCTTACTCGACTTAAAGTTACTCTTTTCAACGATTAATTACACATCATCGATTTAGTTACTGAAAAAATGGTGGCGACTTACTTCACTTATACGGTGCAGTTGTTCAAATTGAACGGATCACCTACTTTTGACTTCTTCGACCTGTACACAGAGGCCAGGGTATCCCTTAGTTAGAGATTAAAAATATCGTTTTGTTTTTCTGTTTCGCTTTCTTAAAAACGGTTGATATATAAACTATTTATGTGTAATACATTTTTGATGTGTGCAATTCGTGTTACACTCGCGATTCGCACTGTCGGTCACTTCCCACCTATTTAGGTTTTCTTCAGTTCTAACCACGTGTGTCCTCAGACGGTTGAGAGTTTTCCACATTTAATAAATGATATTATATTATTTTACAAGAAAAATAAAAAATAAAAAAAAAAATGAAAAATGTCTTTTACTTCCTGCGGATATCTCGTTTTGCTTTTTAAATGTTTTCCGATTCGTTTGTTAAGCAAAGGATTTAATAAAAAAAAAAAAGGCTTTGTACCTCAGTGCGAATCGTTAAAGCGGGATTAACGCAATTACAGTGAAAAAAAAGTGTGTTTATATCTATAGGTGTACCTACTCGTGTATAATATACATATTATAATATATAGTCGAGATAGCTCGCAATATCTCGGGCCCTTAATACTTTTATTCGCTCATAAATTTAAATTTCCCGTTATCGTCGACAATAGGCCTGCATATTATTTTTTTCAATGACTGGATGGCGGGCTCTTTTTCCCCTCACGCTCGGACGAGCAGCATCTTCTCCTCCCCCTCACATACCCTTCGAGTACCGCTGAATGAATACAAATACAATGACGGGCGAATATAATAATACCGATATTATATTATATTTTCGCGATATTAATTTGTATCCCTTCCCGTCAGTAAAAATATTATTGAAAAAAACTCGTGCTTTTTTTCGCGACGATAAATCGCAATATTCGATTTATTATTATGTACATTATATTTTTTTCTCCATAAATAAACAACTATAATATACCTCGTCGT